CTATCCTGCTAGAGCAGCAGCCCCACCAGGCAGTTGGGTTTTGCCCAGGCAGCTGGTTACTGGGAGGAGATTCTGGGCAGCTGCTGGGAGTGCAGCTGCTCCCAGACCACTCCACCGCCGCCACCACGTGCTTGTGCGGGCTGCTCCTAGGCCCCTCTGGCACTACCACCTCCAGCAGGTGCAGGCCACTCCCAGGACACTCACCCACTGCTGCCGCTACTCACACAATCCATTCCTGGGCCCCTCTGGTGCCACCACCGCTGGCACTCGTGGCCACTCCCTGCTTTTATTTTTGTATTCTCCCTCCCAACTTTATCCTTTAACTCTTGCATATTTCTCTGCAGATCCATCAGCATGGTTATAACCTTTGACCTCCCTTTTCCCTCTGTCCGTTTTCCCTCTACTGGGCCAGTGTGTTGGGTCTGTGCCAGCTGGGGGAATGACTTGCAGGCTGCTTATCGCCATGAGGGGCTTCAGAGCTGCGCTGCCACCCAGGGGGTTAGGTCACCTAGAGTTCCCTGGAATTCCCAGCTGCTAGGCTGAGTGTGCCGGGACACTTCCGCCCAGCTGTGAGTCTCCGGTACCTTTAAGACTTTCAAAAAGCAGTCGCTTTTCTTTTGTCCCAGGGGCACCAGTTACGGGGACCTGCTCACAGGTTTTGCTTTTCTGTTTCTCTAATATCCAGCACACTATGCACCGTGTGTCCATGCTCCTGGTGCAGATGGCTAGGGCTGGGTATTTAGCAATCCTGGGCTCCCTCTCCCTCCCCACACCGACTCCTTTCTTCCCACCGGGGACCTGGGGTGGGGGGCAGTGCTCAGGTCCCACCGGGCTATGGCTTGTATCTTACCCCCTTCATGTGATGCTGAGTTCTTGCAGATGTAGATGTATCCTGGCTGTTGTACTGTATCCACTGGTCTCTCTTTTAGGAATAGTTGTATTTGTTGTATTTTCAAAAATATATATGTTTTTAGGAGGAGATTTCCACTGAACTACTCATGCCACCATGTTGGCTCCTCCCCAGATATTCTATTTCTTGATGATTCAGTCTTGCTAAGATGAATGCTTCCAGGAATTTATCCATTTCTTCTAGATTATCCAATGTATTTCTGTGTAATTGTTCATAGTAGTCTCTTATATTGCTTTATATTTCTATGGTATCCATTGTGATGGCTCCTCTTTTATTTATGCTTTTATTTTAATCTTCTCTTTTCTTAGGTGGTCTAGCTAAAGGTTTGTCAATTTTGTTTATCCTTTCAAAAAACCAACTTGATTCATTGATATTTTCTACTGGTTTTGTAGTTTCTATTTCACTTATTTCTATTCTATCCTTTGTTATCTACTTCCTCCTGATAACTTTGCCCTTATTTCTTCTCTCTTCTCTAGTTCCTGGAGGTATAAAGTTAGGTTTTTAAATCTGAAATCTTTGTTTTCTTATGTAGGCATTTATCACTATAAACTTCCTTCTTAGAAGTACTTTTTACAGCATCCTGTATTTTTTCAGTATGTTGTGTCTCCACTTTCATTTGTCTTAAGATATGTTGTATTTCCCTTTAGATTTCTTCTTAGACTCTTCAAAGGAGTATACTCTAAAATCCACCTATGTGTGAATTTCCCAGTTTTCACCACCATTGTTTTCTGTGGTTGGAAAAGATACTTGATATGATTTCTATCTTCTTAAATTTGTTAAGACATATTTTGTGACCTAACATATGACTATCCCAGAGAATGTTCCATGTGCACTTAATAAGAATATGCATTCTGCCACTGTTGAATAGAATGTTCTGCATATGTCTCTTAAGCCCTTTTAGTCTAAAGTGTAGTTCATGTCAAATGTTTTCTGGCTAAATGATCTATCCATTGTTAAAAGTGGGATATTTAATTCCCCTACTATTACTGTTTTGCATTCTATTTCTCCCTTCAGATCTGTTAGTATGTGCTTTGTACATTTAGGTGCTCTGGTGTTGGACATAGATATATTTACAATTGTTATATCCTCTTGAAGAATCGATCCCTTTATCATTATATAATGACTTTCTTTGTATTCTGTGACAGTTTTTGACTTAAAGTCTATTTTTTCTAGATATAGCTACCTCTGTTCTCTTTGTTTTCATTCATTTGGAATATCTTTTTTTTTGTCCCTTCACTTTCAGCTTATTCTTTAAAGCTGAAGTGTGTCTCCTGTAGGCAGCATACAGTCAGGTCTTGCCTTTTTATCCACTCAGCCACTCTGTCTTTTGATTAGAGAATTTAAACTATTTACATTTAAAGAAATTGATATGTAAGGACTTTTTAATATTTTTACATTATTTTCTGGCTCTTCTCTCATTTGTTCCTTTCTTCCTTTTTTGGTGTTTTTGTTTGTGGTTTGGTGATTTTTGTAAAGTTAAGCTTTGATTCCTTTCTCTTTATCTTTTGCATGTCTACTATACATTTTTATTTTGGGGTTACCATGAGGCTTTCATTTTATAGATATAACAGTCTATTTTAAGCTGACAACTTTGACTGCATACAAGACTTTACCCTTTTACTCCTTTCCACCCATTTTGTTTTTTGATGTTACAATTCACATCATTTGATAATATATATATAGCTCTCAACAAATTACTATAGCTATAGTTGTTTTAATACTTTGTCTTTTAACCTTTGTACTAGATTTAAAAGTGATTCACACAACGGAATTACAGTCTCATGTATTGTGAATTTCACTACAAACTAAGCTTTACCAGTGAGTTTTCACTTTCATGTTTTCACATCACTAGTGTCTTTTGGTTCAGCTTGAAGATCTCCCTTTAGCATTTCTTGTAGGGCAGGTCTAGTGATGACTGATCCCTCAGCTTTTGTTTGTCTGAGAAAGTGCTTTGTCTCCACATCTGAAGCACAGCTTTACCAAAGAAAGTATTCTTGGTTGACAGGTGTTTTTTTAATTTTAGTACTTTGAATGTATCACCTTCTTCTCTCTTGACCTGTTAAGATTTGTGGTGAGAAATCCGTTCACAGCCTTGTGGAGGTTCCCTCGTTTGTGAAGTCTCTTTTCTCTTCTTGCTTTCAGATTTCTCTGTCTTTGATGTTTGACAGTGTGGTTACAGTATGTCTCAGTGAGGACCTCTTTGGGTTGAATCTGTGTGAGGGCCTTTGATGTCCCTGGATGTCCACATCTCTCCCTAGATTTGGGAACTTTCAGCCAGTATATCTTTAATAAGCTTTTGTCCCTTTCCCTCTTCTCCTTCTCTCATTCCAATGATTTGTATATGAGTTCTCTTGATAGTGTCCCATAAATTCCATGGTCTTTTTTTACTTTTTCTTTTTGTTCTCTCTGTATGGGTGATTTCAAATGACTTGCTCTTGCCTTTGCATTCACAGATTCTTCTGCTTGATGAAATTTGCTGCTGAATTTTCTGTCACATATTTTCATTTCATTCACTGTATACTTCAGCTTCAGAATTTCTGTTTTGTTCTTTTGTATGTTTCCCATCTCATTGTCTATGTTCTTGTTTTGTTCATGTACTGTTTTCTTGATTTCCTTGAGTTGTCCATTCTCCCTGGTAGCTCACTAAGCTTCCTTAAAATAATTATTTTGACTTCTTTATTCAGCAACTCATACATCTCCATTTTTGGAGGGTTGGTTAATGGGAAAGTATTGTGTTCCTATGGTTAGGTCATGTTCCCTTGAGTTCTCATGTTTCTTGTAATCTGTTTTGATGGCTTCACATTTAATGGAGTAATCACCTCTTTCAGACTTTGTGGTTTGGTTTCAGTGGGGAAAGACCTTCACCTATGGGTAGATATGAGGCTGCTGGCTAAGGGGGGTTCAGCAATCCAGTTTTAGGGAAGACACAGCAGATGGTCTCTGTGCAGTTCCAACAGTTGAGGTCAGCATCAGGTTGCAGAGGTCTTTGGAGGTTCTGACCGCAGGTTTTCAGAGCAGCAGAATAAACTATTAGGGTCTTCACTGGCAATGCCTGCTGGGGTCCTCCTGATCTCAAACAGTGGGAGTTATGGCCAAGGAGATCCCTCTTAGCATTAGATCTGGCTTGAAGGTACAATTTCAGTGGTGGTGACACAAGTGTCTGATGGGTGAGACCTCATGGAGCCACCATGGAACCAGGCTCCAGCACGTGGGAGCTCACAGAGCTACAGTGGCTCCAGGGTCCTGGCCACTGTGGCAGTGGCTCTGGTGTCCTAGGTGTGGGTGCAGCCAAGCTGTTGCAGAGCCAGAATCTGAGTGCAGGCGTGTGCAAAACAACCACAGCTCTGGGACCCAGGGTGCAGACACACTGCAGTGTGTGTTTTGGGTTTTGTGGTGTGGGAACTTGCAGAGGGGCCATGGATCCAGTCTGGAGTGAAGACACATGCAAAGTGATCAAGGGGCCACTTTTATTCCAGGGTGGGCATGCCGTGAATGGCTGGAGCTTTGGGGTTCAGAGCATGCATGGAGTTCGGGTGAGTGGAAGCCAGGGTCCCAGGGCACACAGCAGTGTCCTCCTCTCTAATGGATCTGCAGTGATGGCTGTTGGGTGATGGCTATTGGTACCGCAGTGGAGAAAGCACCAGAGTCCTCTGCAGAGCAGGCTGCTGGCAACCCTCCTGACAAACACTACAGTGTCCCTCACTGTGAAAGCTACAGGGATGAGGTACTCAGTGGCAGAGGCTGCTGGGGTCCTCTGCAGAACAGGCAACTGGAGACAATGGCACTCAGTGTGTCTGATACTGAAGCTCCCTCCCCCATTTCTTGTTACTAGCCATCAGCTATGCCGATCTCCCCAGCAGTCCTTTCTTTGTGGTTACTCTTCTGGTTCTGCTCCACTGTGTTGCTTCAGGTTCTCAATTAGATTCTTTCAAACCTTTCAGGGTTATTCCATGGATAGCTCTCTAATATTTTTTTGAGGTGGGAATGAAGGCTCCGACTCCACCATTTTGATAATGTCACTCAGTTGCCTAATTTTATTGTAAACCAACTGATAAACAATATAGTCATATAATTTTTACCCCTAGAAAACTAAGAAAATTTACATTTCACACATGAAAATTACATCACACATCTTAAAGAGTCTAAGTGAATCAAAAACATTGACCAATTAGAAGAAAAATAGCTTTCTATGGAGTCTCTGACCACTTTTATTTATTGAAGCTAAAAAAATATTTGAATACTGTATTGTGTAAGCATGAAACAAAGTCAAACAACCCTACTGTTCCTTCATATTCTATTTCTTTAATTATATGTAACAGCAATAATTTAAATTGGAAAGGAGCTTTCTCAGCTATGTTCAGCTAGGAGTTTTGCCTGAACTAGAGACAAAAATAGGAGAAGCAGATAATGCTCTGAAGATACAGCCACTCCCATCAGCCCTACAAGGACCTCTAAAGAGACGTTAGGAAAATTCAATCCAGTTAACTTAAACAGAATGTTACATGTACTGAAGGTTCAGAAAATACTGGTAAATCAGAGAGCTCAAGAGTGTGATCCAGAGAATCACAGAAGCCGAGGTCTAGATTTCAGCCCTCACCCAAGTGCTTCAGAACAAAGCTTTCTGTTTACAAAAGCCCTGCCTGTGAAATGGAGTCATCTTACCTACAGCTTCATTTCTCACCCAAAGTCAGGGGGACAGGATGTAATTTCTATGTAAGGGATTTAAGTATTCAGAGGAGAGGGATTATCTGAGTGCAAAATAGTCATGTTTCATGAAAATGTCATTGAATATGCTATACATTACTTTTCTCAGGAGCTGTGGGAGATTGGAAAAATCACTTCACTGAAGCTCAGAACAAGAAATGTAATGAAGACTGAGAAAAATATGGCTGATACCTCTCTGTCATTCTGCAGGGAACTCTAAAAAGCAGAGCAAGGAAACAACATGTATTCTCTCACCAACCTCTGTGAGGTAGAAGAGAAACCTGTTCCCAAGTACCACTAGTGGTTTGTGTGATTTGATGTGAGGGTTTTTAATGATCCGGACGTTCCTTAGTCTTGAATTTCTCATTGCTTCTTGGATTAACTCCAATGTGACTTTAGTTATCTAGTATCAATATTCAGTATTTTCCTTCTCTCTTCACGAATTTTTAGTGTTTAAGTGAATTTCAATATATAAACAGGTAATATATAATACATATTTAATCATTTGTTCTTTCTATGTATCCTCTTTCCATCTTCTGTGATAATTTTCTTTGAGTTAAAGCATTTCTTTCAAAAGTTTCAGCCCTCCCCAAGTGCTTCAGAACAAAGCTTTCTGTTCACAAAAACCCTGCTTGTGAAATGGAGTCATCTTACCTACAGCTTCATTTCTCACCCAAAGTCAGGGGGGCAGGATGTAATGACTATGTAAGGGATTTAAGTATTCAGATCTAACTCAGTAAAAATGCCAGCTCCACCCATGTGATAACAGACATGATATTTCGAGGGCCTCATTCATGCTGGGTAACAGCATAAGAAGACTATGAAAACAAGGTTCCTTCCCCCAAGGGAGCAGCAGCCTCATAGTAGGGTAAAGGCCACCAGCATTGCCAAGTGGGCTGTGATACGCACTGATGCAGACCGAAAGGCGCAGCAGGGTCATGGAGGAGGAAAGCAAAGCCCCCCAGAGTGGAGCCCCAGAAAGACTGAGGGAAGTAGGGACATGAGGCCTTGGGTATTTCACCACAGCTCGCTGCCTGGTCACAAAACACACATTTGGTACAGCAGTCCTGTATCCCCACCACCCAAAAGGATCCGTCCCCCTTGGACTCAAAAGTTCAAGGTGTCCTACTTAATAATTTACTTCTAAAACTCCAGGGCCACGTATCAGAGGTTTCCCGAGATGCTGAAATCCTTCAAGACCCTATGGAATAAGTCTCCTCCAATGGCCAGAGGAGGAGACAGTGGTGCTATATCAGCAGAGAGAGGGCAGAGCTCTATCACCCCGACTCCTGCCTCCTCTAGGGTCCAGAGTCCTTTTCTGTAACAGATACTAGTTGATTCTAAATGAATAAACCCAGACATGAATCACTTATGCTCAAAATTTGGAGATTCAAATGCTGTGGTTAATACCTTGAATTAGCAGAAAAGACAGAAATAGGAGGAACAGTATATTTTACTTTGAAGTGTCCATTTTTTCCTTTATAGGTGGGCTAACAACCTGTCTTAGGCAGGTTCCCTAGAAGTAGAAATTCACAGGCACTATGATTTACTAAGGGGTGAAGGAAGGGAAAAGAGCCACCCAAGAATACAATTTCAGGGGGAAAAACCCAGGGTGGAGGGATGGAGGAGAGGGAGAGAAGCTGTTGATGTCCTGCTTTTGAGAAAGTAAGGCTGGGCACTCCCAGCCTGGGGAATAGGGCTCATGGCTTTGACTCCCCGGCCGCCTTGAGGCAGAGCAGCAGAGGGCGCAACGCTGAGCCATGCACTTAAGGCCCCGCAAGGCGGCACCCAAGGCATTTGGGCGGAGGGCCGATGACTGCTAGGACCAGGTGTGCCCAGAGAAGATGAGGTGCGAGGCAAACTGTGGGCAGAAAGGACAAGCATGTTAGTGCATGTGAAAAGAAATGGGACTTTCTGCACTAGCTGAGCCTGTAATTAAGTACACGATAAGCCACGTGCAGGGAAACAGGAAAAACATCAGAGACATGTGAGAGTGTGTAAGTTCGGTGGTGCCGGTCCCAGATTCCAGAGGGACACCATCCTATGTTCATCAGCATCCTTCAGCCGTGGGCTCACTGGAATGCTCGCTGATCCCAAGAACCATGAATGCTCTCTGGTGAATCCAGGAAACTTTCTGTTGCCATTGTCCCATTTTCTCCTGTCTCCCACTGAAACTCCCCCTTTGCCTGGCAGGAGTCACTGCCAATCCTGCAGGCATGTTCCCAGGAACGGGCCTGTAACCTGCACTCCCTCCCACAGTACTTACTCCCGTATGACATCCAAAATGTGTGATAAATGCGAGTGAGGCTGGGTGGGAGGCTTCTCCCACTGCATTAGTAGAATCAGGGTTTGCACCTGAGGAGGGTGGAGGTAAGTCCAAGGCTGTACCGTGGGGTAGGGCCCCCGGGCAGCACTTGGTACCCTCACCAGGCAGCAGACTCAGAGCCCAAGCCCAAGGCCAGGGCCACAGAGACGGCCCAGCTGGGGATGAGGGGCGACATCATTACACTGGTGGTGGCAGTCACCTACTCTGAGGAAGGCTGGGTGAGGACACCAGAGCCCACCCACAGCAATATGACCCCTTGTCTCTAAAAGAAAACTGAGTGACTACAGGGGGCCTGTGGCTTACTGGATCAAGGAGATGTCTTAATATAGGCCAGGAGAGTTACTGCTACTTGAGCAGCATTTGAATGCTAGGAGCAAAATGGTTTAACCCAGTAATGTAGTAAGAAATGAAGCATATGACTAATATGAACCCAACTGGAGCTTCTGCACATCAACACAGAGTTGAGATTCAAGTCAGTAAGCAAGGGTGTCTCCAATGGCTTCTATACAAGTTGGTAACTCACCTGTGTGTAGAACTTTTGAAAAAACTGTGGTAAAATCTCATGAAGTGACATTATCTACTAATCCATTTCCAATGCAAGGAAATTGATGTACAATTCCTCACTTGAAGTCCAATTCTTTCTTCTGGTGTCTTCTCGAAATAAATGATTAATCAATCATTAAAGCTGCCTCTAAGTGAAGCAGATGCCTGGTTTCCCAGGTGCCTAACAGCTTTTCAACATAGTCTTCATTAAAACCAAAGAAGGAAAAGCATTCCATTGGTAAGGCAAGTAAGAGCAGGCACACTCCCAGTGATGTCTTCCCGGAACCTTCCACATGGTCATCCTCTGTGTACAAACAGCAGTGCCATGCTCAAGGAACACAAGACCATGATGTCGAAAACGAGGAAATCAACAAAAATGGACTCTCTGAGCACAGCATGAGCCGTGGTAGAAAGCATGCCAAGGCTGTGCAGTGCAGCTGCCAGGGAACGGATTAACTTAGCTTTGACTTCCTGTCACCTACCAAGTGTAGTGCTGACTTCAAACACAACACACAGTCGTCCACATGCCTACAGTCTCTGGCAGCAGGAAACTCATTTGTCCTGGAACAAGTAAGTACCATATCCTCACTCTTAAGAATAACCAGGAATAAAAGGTGATAAAAGTGGATGGGAAACTGATTTCCTTATTATAGATCTGCTGTCATTTCCTATAAATAATGCCAAATAAAGAGAAAATGAGTGTCAGTGAGAAATGTATAAACTTTTTAATGGATTATATGCTTTTCTCAAAAATGAGTAACTTACTAATATTTATGTTGTAATTCTGCACCTAATGCTGTTTTTAAAAAGAGTTTATAGAATTCATTCTTTGATAACCTAGCACTTGCTTTAAAACGTTACTATGTCAGCCACAGCAAGATGAAGAGTGTAGCTTGTAACCTCCACAGATGCACTGCTCTAAGACAAACATGTGTTACCTGTAAGAGACAGCAAGCAAAATGAGAAAATGAAGCCTACTGGCCGAATGACTCTGCGGGATGCCAAGGGCTATGCCTAACCCAGGAGCAGAGTCCAGCTAACCACTGGGCTCTTGCACCCAAATTTCTGTTTTGTTCTGTTTTTATCAGGAAAAGCTGAAAATCTGGGGGTTTTTTTGTGAAAATGTCCAAGGTTTTAATGTTGGTAATTTTAAATAAAGGCCAAAAATATTTCTGATGACCTGATCTGGCCATGGGCTGCCAACTTGTAAAATAAAAAATAGACAATTGATAGAGGCAAATAACATAAAGAAACACAGAATAATGATAGATAAGAACTTTATCTTCTCCAAGGTATTTACAAATATATTTTATTTGGCTAGGATGGAAATAACTAAAAAACAGTAGGCTTTCTATATTTCTAAGTGAATCTGTTAAATATTTTGCTATGTAAATTCCCAAGGTTTATTTATATAATATTATTCTTATCTTAAGGCTTTACAAATAAACTGTCTCACAAATACATATGAGGGAATGACCCAAGGGATGGCAGAATGGCTGGGGACCATTCAGTTAAATTCTAAAATGTCCACATTCAGCCAGTAAATTTGGAGACATATTATGGAGCCATAACCCCAATTCACTGCTGCGTGTTTCAGATTAATGCCATGTCTTCCCCAAGGAGCTGACAACTCATTTCCCTGCATAACTGTTGTCTCCCTTGTTGTGCGAGAACAAGTGCAGGATACGTTTGGGAGCAGAATATCAAGATTATCTAGGAAAGAATTTCAGAATCCCTGTAAGCGTTCAGACCCACTGTCTATCCAGCCCCATGTTCTGGCTGTGAGTGAACCAAGGGCAGCCTCTCTACAATTTAGCACTCTGAGATTTCCTCGCTCACCTCCACACAGCAAGCACCGCAAATCAGTGGTACCTGAACGTTTCCTCGGACAAGTATCACCCTGCTCAGTCCTTCAGTTAATGAGGTCTAGGGCTTTATTACCCAGCTCAAATCACACAGAAGTGAAAGTAAAGGGACCCTGGAGATCATTTGCTTCAATCTCCTCACTTCCATTTAAAAAGCCCTAAAACTACCAATTCCAAACTTTAAGTGATTCAGATTTATCATGATATTCTAAGATTCCAGGAATAAATTTTAGTTCACCCCATGTTTCTGCTTCATTATTTTGTAAAAAATAAAATATAACCCAATGTTTCAAATATCATATCAGCCATTTTTCCAAATGGAGTCCTAATTTTTGTGCTTACTTTCTTTTTTATTGAGGAAATGATATTCACTGTTTGAAAATCCTAGGTGGCCATTTAGTACCTTCCACTATACTTGTGATTTGACAATACCAGAGAGCCCGCAGAAGGGCGAGGAGGGGCGCGTGCTCCACTGGTGGTGCTCCTGTCTGAGAACCATCGGGCACTCTCAATGCGGTTGTTCTGCATTTAGAAGAGCGATGGTCCATCGCACTGCAAACAGCACCAGACTGTCAACTCTGCCAGCTGGAGCCCATGGGCGGGGCAGGATCAGTTGCTGCAGTAGTTGCTGCATCTCCTCAGCATGTCTTTCTATATGGATATGGGATTAAGACATAGAAAGAATGAGAACATGGGAAACAGCACAGTGTTCACAGCTGATATCATTAAGCCCTGCCCCTTCCCAGGATGTTGATCTAATGTACCAGTTCCAATAACCCAGCATAGTCCCATTAGCTTTTGGTACTACATTAATATTCTACCTTTCTGACCTAAAATGTGGTATTCATCACCCAAAAAAGTACGTTAGAATTCGACTCTTTTTGAAGCAATCTGCAATAGAGTGTTTCAAAACTTCCTCAAAGTACAGAAAAACTAAACTTCCACTCCTGTTTCTAAGAGCAAATTCACAGCAGGCTTCCTGTTATTTTTTTTGTCATATCCTCCATAGTGTAACAATTAGCACTGCTTATTTCATCAACTCTGAATTTAGAAAGTGCATTCCTAAGCCATAAGTGACTTCTATTTTTAGTTATGTAATATCTACCAACAAAATTTAAGGTGAGAGCACTTCAATGACATCAAGCAAAATCATACACTTAATATATTATTTAATATTTAGTATTTATTCCAGGGTGTTCAATTATTTGTTTCCATTGCTGCCTCCCACACAACCTCATGAGCCTCACAAAAGCAGCAACACTAATGTTTCTTCCTGTTTCTTCATTACCTTAAAACATACTTCATACACTGAGTAAGCACTTAATAACTTTAAGGGTAAAGCGAGAGTTATAGTCATACCTGTTCATCCTGTTGCTCTCAAAAACAGATGCAAAGCACACTGAATACACTGCTCTTTTGTGTGTGCCTTTTCCATTTTGCAGTTTCTTGCTCTGAAGCCAACCTTTTTCTATTTAAATCCCAGCTCTGCCACTTAGGGGTTGCTCTCTGCTCTCCTGTTGTGTCTTCTGTAAAAGGAGAATATTAATGACTGCTTTAAGCAGATGTGGAGAATAAGTAAGATATTACAAGAAAATAGTTTAAAACAATGCCTGGCATATCATAAGCCTTCTATAAATAAAGGCAATTAGCACAGAGAGAGGATTCAGGTCTTCTGATCTCTCACTTACTTGTCTAGGTCAGAGTTACAGAATTTCCCAGCCAATGCTTCCTCACGTGTTTTAGGGACCTAATAATAGTTTTCCTCCCTTTCTCACTCAGATGTTAGAAGAAAATAAACTCTTGAAACACTTTAAATCCCCAGAATATTTTTCTATTATCATTATCATTAACTACAAAGTGTTTAGACTTTTAAGTAACATTTTTATTATCAAATAATACATACTTATTATGGAAAATTTCAGAAGGGTATTCAATTATATGTCATCCTTCCTCCCATAGATAACTTTTTAGCATACATATACCAAGTTTTTCTTGAAATACGCTATATTTTTATGTTAGAGAAGGTTTGTTGTTATGTTTTGGGTACCATGGGAGGCTTAAAAAAAATCACTGAGCAATTCAATGAATACTAAAAACACTGGCTGGTACGTCCCTGTCTTTCTGCACTGGGCTCTGTGAAGTAAAGCTGAACGTCAAGACATGTCATAAAGACCACCTCATCATTCAAACTGACCCACTACAATGCAATTGAAGAACATTTTATTTTCAATGCACTTAATAATACATATGGCTTTTTGTTACACTTTAAAAAATAATAATAGTCTAAAACAGAAGAAACACACAGCAGCTTTTTTTGCTCGTATGGTAGGACCTGTCTTCCCAACATACCCTACCCTCTTCCCCAGGGCTAGGGATCAGACAGCAATGGTTGCTTCAAGGAGAGAATATTTGCCCTACACACTCTGTCTCCATTAGGTTAAACATGCATTTTTCTAGCCTGGGACATAAGCCAGGCTGGATAACATAAATTACTAACAATGAACATTCACTTCAACTTAAGGATGAGCTCAAGAATGTACCAGAATGCCAACTAAAGAGCTTAACTCATAGTAGTCTTAAAAAGCTAATAACTATTTGTACACCTGAAACCAATACAATGTTGTATATCAGCTATACTTCAATTAAAAAAAAATACTGGGGCTAAAAGCTGGAACCATGGTTGTTTCCTTGTACAAGCCAAATATCCCAGTAAGCACAAAGCAGCCAACCCTACTCTGATAATCAGGGTGTCTAGGGAAAGCAGGGTGTCCAGGCACCCTCCTCTGGGAAAGAAGAGGGATGGGCTCTAAACCACATGAAAGAGGTTTACCGTGGAGGTGGTCTATGTGCCAGACACTGTGATAAGTGTTTTAAGTATGTCTGAACAGTTCAGACACATTTGATTCTCCAGAAACATGAGGTAAGTAATATTATTCCCATTTTACAGATAAGGAAACTGAGGCTCAGAAAGCTAAATAAATTTTCTGAGGCCTCACAGGTAGAAAGTGCCCAAGCTGAAATTTAAATACACATTTTTAAATCTTTGTCAGAAAAATGTAGACCTAATACCACATTAAAAACATGTTTATGGACTTGCCCAATGTAGACTATTTTTATTAAGCCTAATAACAGTTATAGGTCTTGTTTTTCCATGAATTCCTTAGGTTATGTAGCTTAGAAATTATCCCCAGGAGTTTCTGGTTCCTGCTAGACTGCCAGCTGCCTTCCTCAAAACCAACCCTGTAAAAAATTGAAGTCGAAGGGCACGTGGGTTACCGACACCTGGGGAGACACCCATGCCTACTTAAACTGGGGTGAGGGTTGGGATCAGGTGGCAGCCCGGGCCGAAGGGCAGCTGGGGCAGCAAGCCGAAGAGGACCGGCCAAGGGAAACTGCCAACGCTCTGCGTCTTCCTCACACGTGGCTTCGGGACCATCACTGCCGGCCCTTAAAGGGTGAGATGAGTGACAGCTGCCCAGACCACCCGTGCTGGTGCCCTTCAAAGAACAGCGCAGCCCAGAAGCCCTGCTACAGTGAGCTGTGGACGGAAACACAGACAGAGCAGCCTCCCTGGAGCTTTGTTCCTCCACCGCCGCAGCCCCAGGGCCCCTGTGTGGCCAGAAGCAAACCACCCCAACTTTCAGCTTTCCCTTCTCACTTATTTGCATGCTATTTTTTTTACATTTTTATCAATGAATGTAACTTATTTTTGAAATGAATGTTCTCCTTTTGTAATAAGGGAAATTAGAGCTTTCTGAAATATTTTTTAAAAACTGAAGCTGTGATCATTTAACTACATGGTAAGAGAGTCAGTAAATGAGAGGTATGAAGAGTGCAGGAGTAGCTAAGATTCTCAGAGCTAGGGCTCCACTCCTCCCTCCTCCCTCCACACTCACTGGGGTTGATGTAGCCTGAGCCCTTCCCACAGCCCTTCTCAACACAGTACCAGACACCAGACAGCGGAGCTCACACACACACACACACACACACACACACACACACACACACACACACTCCTGTTAACAGGAGCTCACAGAGTGGAGCTCTCACACACACACACACAAACACACAAGCTCCGGTTAACAGGAGCTCACAGGCTGGAATAACCAGACTCCAGAGGAACAGAGCCACTTTAAAAGAAAGACAACCAGCATAAGAAATCATGTAAGGCAAAAACATGTAATGAATTTGATACATCAAAATTTCAAATTTCTGTTCAATGAACATCACGAAAAAGTTAAGAGGGAGAGAAAAAAATGAGAAAACTTACTGTGATGTCCAAAACCAAAATTGATCAATATTCAGGATATACGAGAAACTCAAATGGGCAAATGAGACCCAGTGGAGGACAATTTTCAGAAAATACAAATAAGTAACAAATATTTGAAGAGATGCTCAAAATCATTAGTAAGAATAAATTCAAATGAAAACCATGAGCTATCACCTCATATCTGTTAAGCAAAAATTAAAAAGCTAGATAATGTACTGCTGGTGAAGTGTAGACACGTATGCAGTTATTCAGAAGTGCAATCTGGCAATACCCCATCAAAACAAGTAAACAAACATTCTTTGACCCAGAAATTCCACCTGTACCTCTAGATCCCAAATAAATGCTTAAGCAATTCCCTGAAGGAACCTGTATGAGGATATCCATGCTCATGCCCTTTGCAGCCTCATTTGTGCTGGCTGGGGGCTGAAGGCTGTCTTGCTACCCACTGCTAGGGAAGTAAGGAGGTAAAACATGGTGGATGCATATCTTGGGATAGCCAAAAGCAATTGATTAGAAGCAATGATTTACACATAGCAGCACAAAGATATCTTTAAAATATTGTGATTAGAGGGAGGAAGTGAGTGACCAAGTGAGAAATATAACCCAACATGGTTTATAAATCAAAAAGTACTTACACACAAACCAAAAATATTCATTTTTCAAGAACACATACAAACCAAAACATACATGTTAAAGGTCATGAATTCTATGGGAAGAGAGGAATGGGAATGAGGTATAAGGAGAATAGAGAGAGGGGCCTTGCATGGACCAGTGCTGACAATGTATCATGAACCATTACCTCAACCCTTCCTATCCTCTGGGTCAATAACTCTACCTCTATCACTTCCATTATCCCTAGGACTGTTGGAAGGAGCTTTAGAGAAAACACATGCATGGAAATCATGAAATGGACACTGAGAAGCTCACCAGGCAACCTGAACCTTTACATGTCCATTAGTATCATTCTTAACCAGTGATAAAGAGGAACAAAAAGTTCCCCTTGCCTGGATCCTCCATCAAGGACATCTGCCAGGAATCTTGCTTCCAAGTGAGGGTACCCATTCCATTTAGAATTCCCCTTGGCAAGCCACCAAGACCCATGCAGGATGTCCTTATGTGGATATGTGGGCACACAGGCACAAAGTACTATGCAAGCAGAGGCACTATTACCAGGTCTGTGCCCCTTCACTGCTTGATGTGGCCATTGGTTATTGCTCCTCAATTCCCCACCTACTCTCTCGGGGTTTAAGATGTGACTGCAGAGTAATGAGACATGCCTGGGAACTGAACAGTCCCCAAAACACTCTATTAATTTTTCCTCACCTCGTTGCTGTGAGACCAGCAACAGGAGACATCTACACAGGTAAACACCCAACACAGTCACCTCAGGGCAGGGCCAAGCAGTGGTTCATCCATTTCAGAGAGGTAAGAAGGGTGGAAGAAGGGAACAAGAAAAAAAGGGGAGAGCAGAGGAAGGCACAGGAAGACCAAAGTCCTTCTCTGGTGTGTAAGTACTAAAATACTTTGAATTAATTGTGTTCAATGCTACTGACAGAACTGCCTCATGATCAAATTAAGTACTTATAACTGATGAGAAAAATAAAAAATAATAGAACAAATCTCACTGATTCTACTACTTAGACCTGATTTTTTTTTAAATGGAGGACACCATATTTTCAGCCTGAGATTAAGATTTTCATGAGGAAGAGTAGCAATACCCACATTTTTGGCACTCCTTTCCTTGCAAGAGCACAAAAGGCCTGCCAGCCCAGCCCAGGGCACACCGACTGTCCACATGTTTTATATCATATTCAGTACTTTATTTTTATTCAATAAAGTTCTATGTGGTTTGAGACCTGAGCCAGTTACTATCAGCCAGAGAATTCTTGCTAATGATCTGCAATTCCAAATGTTGGGGACCCAAAGGAAGAATGAATTCCACAGTGGTCTTTAGTTTTGCCTTATTCCTCCCACTTTCCATGGCCCAGTTTTATCAAGGACCATATATTCACACACCTTGTCAGGAACCAAAATGCTACTGCTGGTGACTCCGCCCTGGGTGGGGAAGCTACCTTTAACAATCACATAACGTGTGTGGCCTCAGTTCACTGCCCCAATCTTTTATAGGTGTTTTGTGGGCACATTTTGCACAGGCTTTCATTTTATTGCCAGACAATAACTATACCAACACACGAGTTACACAGCCAGTCCTTCACTCTAAGCAGACACTCCAGATACTTAGTTGGGACCTAACATGCCAATTCTGAGTTACATTTTAAAGCTTTATAAACCATACAGTTGACTTCATTGTCTTAATGGTAAGCTTCCATGCTAAAGCCTCGGGTGCTGACAGCGTGAGCAGGGAACTGACCGACCTAGGTCCTCTCCCTGGAGGCACTGGTGACCAGACCCCACACGGAACTGTTCATTAGCACATATGCTTCTCATGGGGCACAGACGCTAGCAGCCCCCTCCTGCCACATGCCTCCTCTCCAGGCGGTAGCACTCTGTGAAATGGTCAGTGCCTGGACTCCACGGTCAGACACAAATGGAACTGAATCCTCAACCATTTACTCTCTGAAGTTGCAGCCCTTATTTTACTCCTCTGAGCTTCCATCTCCCAATCTTTAAATTCAGGAAGCAACTTCCTGCTTCAAACGACCAGTATAAAGATTAAGTGTGACATTAGCTGCAACGCTTAAAATTCTTCAGTGACTGTCCCTTGTATCTACACAGCCTCCAGCTTAAGCTCCTTCGTAACATCTAAGGTCTTCCAGGAGTTGGCCCTTGCCCTTTTCCCCCTCACCCTTCACAGTCTTCCCGCCCTCTGGCAGCGCTGCCCACTGGCTCCTCCAACAGACCACATCTCTGCATGCCTCCACACACAACACCTCGCCCTCTGCTATCCATCTGGCTGAGCCTGGTACATCCTGTCAGCCTCGCGTTAAATGCAGGACCTCTCCTGAGTCCGGGCCTGCCTCAGTGCTCCTTCCTCCACCAATCTTCTCCAACTCTTGCCCATATCCCCCTAAAAGCAATATTGTACTATATTCTAACTGCTTGTTTTCATGTCTCTCTCTGCATCGAACTGCAAATCCCCTGCGAGCAGAGACTGTGTCTTTCCACTGAAGCCATCACGAGATCCTACACATAGAAGGCACTTGAGAAAAATAAACAGGAGTTCCGTCCCCGCTCTTCATCTCTGGGGACCTCTTCCTCAGTGGTCAAAGTCCCTGCTGCTATGGGTCTCCATCCTTTCTCCCCGCTGTCAGTGCTGACCCCTGCCTCCTCTGAGCAGCTCATTTTTGAAAGTAGCAAGGTCCTGGTCCCAGAGGCTCATGAAGGTTTGCAGAGCCTCAGAGGCAAAGTCAGGAAATCTAGACAAGTAAAATACCCAGATCCATATATCCCCCTTCCGTTAACCTTCTGTATCCTTGTGGCAATAAGCATTAAGCTTGAAAAGAGAAAGAGCCTGTGTGCCTGCTCTGGGGTGAGCAAGGAGAGGGAAGCAGGGAGCGTGTGCCCTACTCAAGAGTGGCTTACAGGGAAGAGGCGGGACTGGCTGCCTCACAGAAAAAAGGAGCGGGCCTGAGCCCCTAGTGACACCGACAAGGCAAAAGCGGCCATCTGGTCCAGAGAAATAGGTCTCCTCGTGGTTTCTCCAAGTTATCTCAGAGTAAGGGGTGCCCCTCCCCTTTAGAGACCTTGCCAGACAATCGGAGCTCCTAACAAGTCTTTCTTCACTGACGCTGGGAGCTCAAGGACTCCTTTCTTGATAACAAAATTTTTTTTTCTCCTTTTTCATTGGAGAAAGCTGGGCCCTTAGAAATGTGCTTGCTGTATTGGGATATGCTGTAGCCCTGTGAGGTCAGCTTCCAGGAGCAGCAGGGACATGAGGCCCACACGTGCCCACCATCTCCCCCTGCCCCCAAATCCGCTGAAATTAATGAGATCTCAGGGCAGAGCATACATAAAAGTCTCATCAGAAACACTCACCTGAGGCCAGTTCCTGTCACTTCAGAGCTTTGATCACACTGAAAACTTTAATGTGTTGTTTCCTTACCCACAGTCACCCTCGAGGTGGTGCTGTTCCCACAAAACGAGCTACCAGTAACTGGAAAGTGCATACAATACACATTTCCCCAAGACAGAGGTCACTTAGGTCACGTGAGATTCTGAAGGACTCTCTTCTTCAGCTGCATTCCTAATCCCACTCACTAGGCTGCCAGGTTTTCTGTTTTGAAATTAGATTCAGCGTTAGAGTTTCCAAATGAAGCAGAACACCTAGTTACATTTGTATTTCAAATAAACAACAAATTATTTTTTAAGTGTAAGTATGTCTCAAATATTTTGTGGGACATGCTTATATTAAAAAATCCATTCATTTTTTATCTGAAATTCAAATTTAATTGGGTGTTCTATATTTTGATTTTTCTGAGAATGTAAAGGATTATTGATTTTATGTCTTAAGGAATTTTCTGAGACTAAAGATTTCCTCCATTCTTTCTTCACTTCATTAAGAGTTCATAACTAACCTCAATCTCTGAAGCTGATTAAAGAGCAAGTAGTAATACAATTCATTTCAGGTTCATTTTTTTCCCTACTCAAATTCTGGAATAGAGTATTTCAGAGAGAATGACCATAAGGCGATCTAATTAGACAAAGGGAGAATGGAAACAAGTTATGGATAAACCACAGATATTTCTCAATCCTTGCATAATCTGGGTGCAGTTCCAATCTTACTGATAATAGAACTTGTTCCTTCTTCCTCCTGACATGATTTCAAAGATTGGATAACAAATGATGCATTTATAATGAACCTAAGCTAAATATTGACTTAAGGAATGAAGGCAATTTCAATTCAACTTTATTCAATAGAAGCTTAGCTCACTTCCCAGTAGTTGTCTTTTAAAACAGCTTGCTGAACCAAAGTATATCTTTGATGTATTCCTTTTATAAAAATGTACAAACAAGCACCTATTTAAGGAAAGAAACCAACATTCTGACTTCAACTAAGAAAAACATATTGGAAAGCCCAGCCATAATTTTCAGATATGTCCCATTTGAAGGTGGAACAAGCTCCTAGTTTACCAGCAGACATCCAAAGAGTGTCCCCACGGAGCCGGACCCTCCTCCCCTCTCCTATAAAACAACAGCAACAGTGAAAAGGAGAGGTTCAGGGAAGAAGCAGAACAAAGGACATTAACTTATTTTGGCACCCAATGTGGGTCAAGTCTGCAGAACAACTTACATACCTCGATTCTTCCATAACCCTGTGAGGTCAAGAGGGTTCAGAAGGGATTAAATACTCAGGTGACACCGCATTTAAAGGCAGTCTGAAAGCAAACTGAAAGAGAACTTCAAAGTAATGCTTAACAATGTAGACTAAGCATCAACTTACTTTTACAATAATAAGTACAATACTTTTTTAAAAATTATCCTGACCCTGTGAGAAAGTATTATTGAGTAAAAATAGAATAGGAACCATATGTGCAGTCATGATAATTTTTCGAATTATTTGAAACTTTCCACTCTCCCTGGCTCTATTTGCAAACCCAACCAGAACTCCCAGCCCTCCATCTCTAGCACACAACATACTAACAAAACTGCTAAGATATTGCTAAACTCCAGGCCATACTCTGTTGACACCCCAAACTGTAAAGATTATAGAAAGAAATTTAACTGAATAACTAGGCATAATTTTTATAAGTCATTTTAAATGCATATGAATTCCAAGAATTCCACCTGGATGTCTTTGTCCTAAGTGTGCATCCGTCTCACTACAGCCAAGAGGGAAAGTTGAAGGACAGGGAAGGCCCGAAAACTTCTCTTTTCTGAGGTCACCACATACTAAACACATGATCTTATTCCCCACAGCAACACCAGAAGGTAGATGCTGCATGACCCCCATTTACCCATGAGGAAAGTGTGACGTGCAAGGGCAGAGATGTCCAGGGACTTGCGCAAGGCTCAGAGCTGCTAGGAGTGAGCACAGGACTCAAAGACAGGCAGTCTAACTTTCGTCTGCATACTTCTGAGCCTCAGTCCCCAGGCTCATCTACTAACTGACCCCCTTGAGGTGGCTCGCAGGACTGAGTTCCTCAGTTTTCCAATCAGCTTTGCCCATTCCTTCTCTCAAGAATTTGGAGCAGGCTAGGCACCAGGCACAGAGCTGGCACACAGTCAGGAAACAAGACAAAGCCCAGCCCCATCTCACTGTCTTGGAGTGGAGTGAGGGAGACAGATGGGTCAACACACAGACAAGTGAAAGCAGTTTGGGTGGCTGCTCACAGGAAAGGAGGTGTCACAAGAGAGGAGAGGCTGGAAAGCCTCTCCAGGAGGGGGACATTTAAGGAGGACAGTAAGAAGACTCAAAGGAACCAAAGACCCAGACAAGAAATGGGCACGCAAGAGCCAAAGAAGCCACCAGGAGGAGAAGCAGCACTGTGGTGGGACCAAGCCTAGGGACGCCGGTCAGATGGGGTATCTCTGGCTGCAGCCCTGCGAGAGGCTGACAGTGCAGCCCAGCCTGGGGTATAGGCAGAGGTCTCCACATGAAGGCCCTCACAGGATGCTGGTAAGGTTTGAGTGGGAAAGGGTTTCAGCAAAAAGTGACATTCCTGTTTGCCAAGAACAGAAGGGATTCTGAGGTAGCCATCAAGGGTTGCAGAGGGCAAGACAGGTGTGCCAACAGCAATTCTCTGACGCCAGCTGGATGGCCTACAAGTCAATTCAATTTTGATACTACCTACCTGGAGTTAGTGCAGACCCCACAGGCTAAAGGCAAAGTCTCTCACAGGACTGCCTCACTTTAGATGCCAACTGTAAGGCTGGACTGGACCATCTGCAGTTCTGACCAACCAGCCATAAACTCGGGGAATCCCACAACTCCCTTCAGTTCAATAATTCATGAGAATGACTCACAGAGCTCACGGAAAGCAATATACTTGCCATTACAGTTTGATCACAAAGGACAAAGATCAGGACCAACCAAACGTTAGAGTTGCACAGCACAAGTTCTTGGCGGAGGGGATGCAGAGCACCCACGCCCAGTCCTCATGGAATCAGGGCATGTCACCCTCCAGGCACATCGATGTGTTCACCAGCCAGGAATGTCCCCCGAGCCTCAGGGACCAGGGTTTCTCTGGGGTCTTTTCTAGCTCCTACCCGCCCCCTGGGGTTGGGGACGGGACTGAAAGCTCCAGCCCTCCGATCACGAGCCTGACATGATTCTGGTGTGGCCAGCCTCTCCTCTGGACCATCTAAGGGCCCACTGGAGTCACCACATTACTACAAACTCAGGTATCCTTTATGAGGATAATGAGTTGAAAGGGACTCATCAGTAGCCAAAGATACCCTAACTCTGGAAATGCCAAGGGTTTCTGAGACTCTGCAAAGAGCCAGAGACAAAGACCAGATATGTTCTTCATTAAGTCACAAAGAGAGGCAGGAAAACCAGGTGGGTGACCTGTACACTTAGCTAAAAACTAAAAGGATCTGGCCTTTCTTAGGCGTGGTCTGCAGGGAGGAGGCTGTGCTTGGAACAGGAGGGAAAAAGCTCAGGCAGGAGCCAGGAATAGTTCTGGGAAGAGGAACAAGCAGGATAAATGAATCCCAAGACTTTTAAGAAAACAAGAAGGCTTACAGGAGACTCTGGCATGAGCCTGGGAAGTGAACTGTCTTGCCAATGGGTTTCAGCCCCAAGCAAGTTCACTATGGATTCAAGTGTGATCAAAGAAATGACACTAGAAAGCTCTTGGGGTGAAGGGGTTTATTACCCGGCTTGTTCTCCCAGCGGTAGGTCGAGCACTAGCGTCTCTGCCTCCACCCAGAGCACAGGGCCGAGCTCTCTACATATAGTGCAAAAATAGTTTATTGCCTATGGATGTGTAAGCAATAGCCTAGCAACATGCCAGTTACATCATCAAATGGTTTAAGTTCCCTGAGGATCCTGGCCATAGAAACCCCAACTTCCCCACACTGAACTCCTGGAAGGAAGAAGCAAATGGTGTGTGTCCTCACACAGTCACCATCTTCTGCCACTCCAGAGTTTTCTGCAACCATTTTGCTTTAAATGAGACATGTTTTGATAGTGACACTGAACAGCCTACAAAAGGAAGGGAATCTTCTCTAGTAGAGCATTGTTCATTTTGCTCTAAGAAACTAACAAAGCTGAGCCTTTTGGATATGTGTGCTGGGTTTTTCAAACCTAGGACCTCAGGATTAACAGCCCACAGAAATTTCCCTTCAGCTTTTCAGGGAAGTTATTCTACATTGCAGTCTATACTTCCACAGGCACATTTCCTGCAACTTTTCTAATTAACTTAAAATTCCCAGGAAAGAAAAACAATTAATGAATATCTGTTCATGATTTTATGAACACAAAGATGAGAGAGACAAACAACATGGCACTGACTTGCTAAGCCGACAGAAAAGAACAGCCTTGAACATGAACTAATGAGCAGCTGGGGTTTGTGAATTCCTGTATCACGTCACAGCCTGCTGGGGAGGCGGAGTGAAGTTCATTAGGAAATGCCTAAGTACAAAGGCCTAAACAACAGTTCCGAGCTCCCTGAACTTGGCCAGCAGGCCTGCAGCTGGTTTTCCCCTTGATTGCTAGCCATCACAGGCAGTCCCAGGGAAGGCTTGTGGTCTGAGTTTTGCAGTGTCTGTACTTTATCAAGAATTCTGCTTTTTGCTAACATGTTATTCAGAACAGTACTCTGATCTCTGACACCAAAGGCCTTAAAATGGAGGATTTGAAATTTGATGGCACCGAGCGCATAAGTGTGGACTATGTGAAGGAAATTCTTCAACCCACACCCACCTGTGAAACCTGGGACCAGATCTGGAAATTCCAAGCCAAGCCTGATGACCTGCTTATTTCTACGTATCCTAAAGCAGGTAGGTGGAAGGGGAGAGGGGTTGGTAAAGCAAAGAGTTAGGAAGGTAAGTGGGAGAGATGTGTTAATGATGAAATAAAGAAATTGCTCTAGGCTTGAGTAGAAGTTGTTTACTGGGCAGAGTGATGTGACTAACAGAAATCACAGTGGAAACTAAAACTACACACAAAAAAAGATTAAATGACCTACAAATTTTAAGAATTTAATTTTTCCTGTGACATACATAATTTTTTTACTTCCCCAGGAAAAAGTGAGTTTTTTTACTCCCCCAGGAGAAACAGACAAGAAAACAGGCTACAGGTCTTGTAAAAAGCTGCTCTGTGTGAGTGAGCTAAAACGGGGATCCCAAGGCTGACCTGGGGGAGAACTTGGGGAGCTCTAGTTCTGCAATGCTAATTTCATCTCAGAAGCCCTCAAAAGTCTCCCAGCTCACTGTCCAAGAACTATTCTTTTGACTTCCACCTTCCCTCAGACCATGTTGTGAGCCTACTTCCTTGTTTTAATGATCAGATTAACAAAGTTGCTGTAGAAATAAAACTAACTTGAACCCAGCCACTGCTTCATAAAAATTTGGGGGTTAGCAGGGAGAAACAATTCTCCAAAGGTATTTTTGCACACTAACCTTTGTATACTGAAAACGCAGTATTCAGTTCACACCCAAATTTGCTCTTTGCAAAATCAAGCTCCTTGCCAGTGACTTCTGTTACACACACACACACACACACACACATACACACCAAAAAATCTAAACCTAAGCATTTTCTGAGATGTGTGTTCAAGCCCCTCTTGTGTGTTTATCTCTAAAGATCCTAATTAAAAAACTACAGGCAAATGGGTGTCTTAGACTCCTATGTGTCCATCAGTTTCTTATTGGTCCTGATTTTCCAATCTTACTCACCATGAGTCTCTGTTCAGGATTGAACTTTTCTAAATGTGAATTTCTAAAAGTAACCCATGGTAAGAATCACATCTCACTGCTTTAATTTCATCCACAACTCTACTTTGTTATCGTCATTTCAGTACAATGCTTAATAATTAATCTGTTCTCCACCTGCCAAATGTGAGTATTAAGATTTGGTTCATTAGGGTTAATGGAACTTGAACAATTCAAATAACACACTAAAAAAATAAAATTCTTGCCAGCAATGTAATATTTAATTATCACTAAAACTTTGTATATAAATAGAGGATACATTTACTAGAAGGAAGAAGAAACAAGCATAGATGACAAATAAGGTTTACACCTAAATTTTAAAAACAGTAATAAACTGTGAATGAAAAAAATACACTAGAATTGTTGACCACTGGAGGATGAATGGAGAAGTCATTCCACTCATTCCTGAGCCTCTGGTAACATTGAATCTGCCCCAATGGTAGTCAGCCCATGACTCTAATCTCAGAGTAAGCACATAAAACTAGTATAAATAGCTGTAATCTTATTTGAGTTGATAGTCGCAGAGAAATTGTTTATCCTGTGATGAAATAGTTAGGGCCAGAAGCATTAGAGACCAACTCCTCTAGGATAGAAAATGTAATTTTTTCATTGTTTTCTAACCTATGCCCCTCCTAGAGACCTGAAAGTGCTAAACTGAAGAAAGTATGTCTGTAATGAGAGATGATGGTCAGGGCATATAAGAAAGATCAGCCCCTATCCAGGATTCAGAAAGCCCTCCTAAATTATCAAACATCCTCCTGATATGCATTTTGTCACAACGTCTGGTACAACAGGTCTCCATCAGAGGGTGAAGATTCAGTTGGTAGGCACTATATAAATCAGGATCAGGCAGCACACAGAAACCACCAGCTGGGAGGCAGAGGCCCTTCTGGTGGTGGTGGTGACAGAGGGGTACAGCTTCTTGGGTCCCAGGCAGTGAGCAGCGGGAATAGCCCTGTAACACTGCGACCTGTTGAGCTACCACTAGCTGCCACCACGTTGAGAAGGATGACCTCTACCTGTCTGCCCACAGATCTCAGGCTAATTGAAACAGTACTCAGCATCTTAGTGACAAAGGAGTCTAGGGAATTCATTTCTTTGCCTTTCAGCCCCTGAAATTAGGGGAAAACAGAGAGAAAGGTAAAAATGGATACTAAGGGCTAGTGATCAGTATCAAGCCCAGGCACTAATCACTTGTTCATTCGTGCAGACAACATACACGAAGTGTTTCCTATGTGGCGGTTTCCCAAACTATGTGTTTGGGAAACAAGACAGTTTGAAAACCACACAGATAGTAATTACTCTCCAGGAGATCACAGTCTGGTGAGAGACCTTTCCTCCCACATCTCTTAGTAACAATGCAGCTGAATCAATAGGATAACAATACCAATTAATGGTTGTGACAGAAAAGAAAAATGAACTGTATATTCATCAGCTACTATCTGCTTTAAACTGCAGTCTTTGTATAAAAATTTATATTAATGATAACGCAAGATAAAAATGTTTTCTTAATTCCATTAAAATGTACATTTAAAATTCACATAGGTGTTCTAACAAGTAAGATCTTATTCAAAGGAGTACAGTATACTGAATGTCTATGCATCTGCACCTTACATGTGGAATAAGGAACAACATGGACTCAGGAGATAGTGGACTTACTACACAATGACGGCGACACAGACAAGACCCAGCGAGCACCCACGCACGTGAGGTTTCCTTTCATCGAGTGGGTGATCCCAGCCGTAGGATCCGGTGAGCATGGAACAGCCACATGTGACTACAGTCCTAAATAAACAACTTAGAATTTTTACTATCAAATAGCCCTCTCAAAACTGTAGGAATTTAAGCTGAAAAATGTTTAAAAAAAAGACAAAAGAATTAACACAACCACTTTGAAAAACTAAAAAAAAAAAAAATACTAATCACTTGTTCATTCGTGCAGACAACATACACGAAGTGTTTCCTATGTGGCGGTTTCCCAAACTATGTGTTTGGGAAACAAGACAGTTTGAAAACCACACAGATAGTAATTACTCTCCAGGAGATCACAGTCTGGTGAGAGACCTTTCCTCCCACATCTCTTAGTAACAATGCAGCTGAATCAATAGGATAACAATACCAATTAATGGTTGTGACAGAAAAGAAAAATGAACTGTATATTCATCAGCTACTATCTGCTTTAAACTGCAGTCTTTGTATAAAAATTTATATTAATGATAACGCAAGATAAAAATGTTTTCTTAATTCCATTAAAATGTACATTTAAAATTCACATAGGTGTTCTAACAAGTAAGATCTTATTCAAAGGAGTACAGTATACTGAATGTCTATGCATCTGCACCTTACATGTGGAATAAGGAACAACATGGACTCAGGAGATAGTGGACTTACTACACAATGACGGCGACACAGACAAGACCCAGCGAGCACCCACGCACGTGAGGTTTCCTTTCATCGAGTGGGTGATCCCAGCCGTAGGATCCGGTGAGCATGGAACAGCCACATGTGACTACAGTCCTAAATAAACAACTTAGAATTTTTACTATCAAATAGCCCTCTCAAAACTGTAGGAATTTAAGCTGAAAAATGTTTAAAAAAAAGACAAAAGAATTAACACAACCACTTTGAAAAACTAAAAAAAAAAAAAATCTAAACATTCAAACAATTAATCAATGGATGCTGTGACTTTCGTCTTTTTTTAGCCATTGCTGTATCTCAGACATTTTCCAATGGAGTTACTGCTTATATAAAAGCAAGTTAAGTTTTTATTCTCTAATTAGAAATTAATTTTATTCCACCAGGATGAGCCTAAGTAAGATAATTTCATGGTGGAAGGGTTTGACTATTTTAGGTTCTTATTTATTTGGTTTGTTGTTGTTTGGATTAAAGTTTGTTTTAGCTAAAAAATTCATTCATAGACTAGATATATTCTCTCAGGTCAGATCTATGGACAGTTACTCCTAAGTAGTAGTAATGGAAGCAGCAACAGTGAAGCAAGTAGAAAAAAAAGTGGAAAGTGATGAAAGATCAATTTTACAGGTCTGGAACAAGCTAATGCAATGCCCTCACCACGGACCCTGAAAACACATCTTCCCATCCATTTGCTGCCACCATCCTTCCTAGAGAAAAACTGTAAGGTAAAGAGCAAAAAGAATTCGGAGTTGTGAATTCTTAGAATGACCTTAGAATGGCATTCAATTGATTTCCTCTTAAAACACTTAACTTGTTAATAAAAAATTGAGTCCTCCTCTTCACTATAACCAATAAAATTGATATGAATCCTTTTCATATGATCAAAAAGCCATCCCAAAAGCCATGATCACAAGAATGTAGCATCAGAAAATTCACCAGTATGGAATATATCCACTCTATCATGACTTTTCTGGGCAATAATTTATGTAGTTCTAATGCTGTTTTTACTTTTTTCCTCCCACATTCCCAGATAATCTATGTAGCACGAAACCCAAAGGACAATATGGTGTCTTACTACCATTTCCAAAGGATGAATAAAGCACTTCCTGCTCCAGGAACCTGGGAAGAGTATTTTGAGAGTTTTCTGACTGGGAAAGGTGAGGGACTTCAGCTCTTTTCCTTCCTTCCTTTCTCAAAATTTCCACTTTAAAAAGAATCATTTCCTTAGAACACCAAGGGCTCTGCCTTCTCCAACGTGAAGGAACTCAGTGCCATACTCTCCCTCTCTTTAGGAATTCTCCCTTTGGGGGATTATCTGTTGGTTGGCCTCTGTGGTTCACTGCCCTGCTTTTCACCCCTCTTTGCAGTGTGCTGGGGGTCTTGGCATGACCACGTGAAAGGATGGTGGGAAGCGAAAGACAAACACCGCATTCTCTACCTCTTCTATGAGGACCTGAAAAAGGTGGGTAGTAAGACCATCTAACTGTTCCTGCTGGACCCTAGAACAGTTGAGTCATAATGTATGGACCCCACTGGAGACCCACAGATTGAAACAGGGGATGGAATATGCTGCATTTCATTGGCCATGGCTGTCCATGCATCAGAGTGCCATGGGATGTCATGAGTTCATGTATCACAGTTTCATCTGCACCTTCCTGGTGCGCTGGTAACAAAACACCTTTTTCACCCAGGCAGATAATGGCAAAGTACAGTGGTACCATTTTTCCCCTTTTCATGTCTATTTTTAAATTCCATTTGGAAGGGGAAAAAATCTTCTAGCATACTTTGGGTTTTTTCATTAGTACTTGAGGAACATCATAGTTTCAAGAAATGGTTTAAGAAATTAGGACATCATGGAAAATACTAATGATTTAGGGGCAAAATTCTCAAATTCAAGTTCTGGCTTTATTGCCTGTTGACAATTATTCTTGGAGAGGACACTCAACATCTCAGAGACTAACTTAGTTTCCTTAGGTGCAAAAAGGAGATAGTAATACACTCTTCCAAGATCTGTCACAAGGATTAAATGAGATGGTGTTCACTGGAGTTTACTGTAAATGATAATCTACTCAGTACTTCCTGCAACTCCACTAAATACAGAGATCAATTAATAATTACAGTCTCTGTTCTTGAATTTATAATTGGAAGCCTTGGTATTCAGAAGGTGCTTTACAGACTAGCTGCAGAGGCTCTCAGTGCCCACACCAGGCCAGCTAAGGCAGAACATATAGTTCTGTAAGGTTCCCAGGGGACATGCATGCACATTCATTTAAATGCCCTCCTCCTAGGTTCAGTCGATGCTGGGCCTCATCCAGTTGTTTCTACCAAACACCCTAAGAGTTAAACATAATCATATTTCTATGTTTTATAATGAGATACAATTGGCATAACCATTATTAGTATCAAAGGTATATAACATGATTTGCTATCTGTATATATTGTGAAATGATCACAATAAGTCTAGTTAACATCCATCACCACAGTTACAGATGTTTTTCTTGTGATTAGAACCTGTAAGTTCAACTCCTTAGCAAATTTCAAATAATGTGTTATTAAGTAGCATCACCACGCTGTACATTGCAACAACAGGACTTACTTATTCTGTAGGAGGAAGTTTGTACCTTTGCCCTTTGCCCGCCACCAGCACCTGGCCAGCTCCCTGTACCTGTGAGCTAGCTTCTTCTTGTTCTGCAGATCCCACTCCGTGAGCCACTGTATCTCCAGTATTTCCCGAACCATGACGAGAGTTCTGAGGGTGACCTGCACAGTTGCCAGTATAAAACGCCCTCCTTTGTGTTTACTGGCACTAAAGTGTTACGTCACCAGAGAGGGCACCACAAAGCTAAATGACGGGGAAGTGGACAAAGGCACTCTCATCAACCGTGTCCCAAGGGAACAACTCAGATACGTGCACTATTTTGGTTAGAAAGTTCTAATCACAGAATTCCAGATATGGATATTCAATTACAGAACATTATAGCAGAAAGTTATATATTATAAGGGATGAGTTTACTCTTCTGTGAGTAGATGTGACAAATTGAAGAGACAGGAGACAGGCACCATTAGCCCAGAACAGACAACTCCATGCAGGTGACACTTGCCCACCTCATGTGTCACCGAGCAGCAAAGTAAGGATATGTCCCTAGGAATGGGCCCTTCTGTGGAGGGAGATCCTCACATATGACAAATGCCAGCAAGAAGCTTTATTGAAACAGGTAATCTAATCTGAGTCCCTAAAACCCTCTTAAATGTTTCTGTGATCATGTTCTGGGATGTCCCCTGGCTGTGTCACACTGAGCTTGCTCCTCTCGGCACTCCTGCTGCAGCCCAGTCTGTGGGAGGCCAGTTAGATTACACACTGGGGACATCTGAGCCTTTAAAGCAGAAGACAGAGTTGTCACGGTAAACATTTCCCCTCCCTACACCCCACTCCTAGACTGAGGGGACATCCCAGGACCACAGCCTCCCAGGGTGATGTGTCCCTCTGACAAGGTAACAGTGGCTCTGTTGGAACTGGGCTCCTCTGAGAGACGCCCACACACTTGGGTATGCTGGCACTAGTGTCACCAGCCATCGACACTCTCAGGTGCCTCATGGGTGCAAAAAATCCTTTCCCATCCCCCTGCCACCACAGCAATGCTCTGAGGACATTTCTATCAAGGTCAGAAACAAGAGCCTCCTCTTGCTCGTGTCTTAAAACATCTGCCCCTATTTGTAAATGGGCACCCTGTATCTGCCTAAATTCTTACTTTGCCATTAAGTGGAATTACTTATACCAAAAATAAAAAACAGCACTTCTCTCAGAAAGTGCTATGTTTATTTTCCAAACAATTTTATTGAAATGGGCCAGGAGTATGTAGGCAGCACAAATGTACAAACAGGAAAAAAAAAATCACACGTGCAATAATCTTTAAAAAGAGAAGGTTAATCTTGGGAGATATCAGTTTCCACCCCCTCCCCTTCTAGACTTGCAGCATTTTGATTATGGTCAAGCCTCTATTAACCTAGCATTTAAATAAAGGAATACAGGAACTTTTGCAAAAAAAAAAATACAGCATAAAAGAAAGAGAATGTTTTCTGGCTCAGATGGGACTTCTCCTAGACCCCTAATTAGGAGGGGTGCTGAAGAGTAGAGAGTGTGCAGTGTCTTTCTTTGTTCTTATCCTTAGTCTACAGATTCTTTCTATTAGACATTTAGCTGACCAAGAACCCGTCTATAACTGACTTGAGCAGGGCAGTTGGACAAAACATTCTTCCACACACTGCATGTCACTGTACAGTGACTGTTTCGCTAACACTATGCAGTTTTTACTTCCATGTTAGAGCAAAAAAAGCTTAATAATTTCAATTAATAAAAAGAAAACAAAGACAAGTACCAAATGATTTCATTCATCTGTGGAGCATAAGAACAAAGCAAAAACTGAAGGAACAAAACAGCAACAGACTCACAGAACCCAAGAATGGACTAACAGTTGCCAAAGGGAAAGGGTCTGGGGGTGGAGGGGGTGGGCAGGGAGGGAGAAGGGGAATAAGGGGCATTGCAATTAGCACACATAACATGGGGGTGGGAGGCACGGGGAAGGCAGTATAGCACAGAGAAGACAAGTAGTAACTCTATAGCATCTTACTACGCTGATGGACAGTGACTGTAATGGGGTATGTGGGGAGGACTTGAGAATGGGGGGAATCTAGTAACCACAATGTTGCTCATGTGATTGTATATTAATGATTCCAAAAGAAAAGAAAACAGTATGAGTCACCATGTTAAAATGAGTCATTTCTGGAAAGTTGAGCATTTTGAGAACAGATTTTTTAAAATTTTAACTCATGATGTTACTGATTATTGCTACTGATTATTTCAGTATTCTTTTTAAACTAATCATTTTATATCAAATCTCCACTTTTCTTTTGACTCTGATTATAGAACCCAAAGCATGAAATTGGGAAGCTGGCAGAATTTATTGGAAAGAACCTAGATGACAGAGTTCTAGACAATATTGTCCATCATACTGCATTTGATGTTATGAAGCAGAATCCAATGGCAAACTATTCATCGATACCTACTGAGATTATGAACCACTCTATTTCTCCATTCATGAGAAAAGGTTTTTATATTTTATTTTGGTTATAATCTTGAAAGAACTGTCTAATATTTCCGAGCCTTTGGGGAGTTTTCTTTCTATGGCTAAGAAAAATAAGATCTATAATGAATGATTCAGAGGAAAGACATATTTAAGAAACCATGGATGAAATGAAAACAATATTTAGACACAATTGGAGTAATTGTCTAAACCCAACCCCTGACCTCCATTCCTCCAGAGCCCTACTGATGAGGTGCAAATACACAGAATTAATTCAGATGGAGTAGAGAATCTATTTTATAGAAGCTGTATGTTATCAGTTAAATTCATTCATTCAAAAATACTTATTGAGTGGCTACTACTTGTAGGCGTTTTCTAGGTAACGTTCAGAGCAGTGAACGAAACATAAAAATTCCCTCCCTCATGAGCTCTAGTCATAAATGAAATAAACAAGAAGAACACACAGCATAATAGATGATGGTAAGCAATATGGAGAAAAGGCAGTCTGGGGAAGGTAACAGGACTGCAGCTGAAAAACTGGGGACATCTTGTTTGTCCACAAAACTGTACCTTGAATCCTCACAGACACAAGGCCCTTCTGGGTCTGCCTCCCACGGAACTATAATCAAAAACACTTTCCATGCTTTGATGTCAAAAGGGCAGGAGGGAAAGACAAGAAAGCCCTGACGGCCTGCTGCGGGCAGGCAGTTGGCTCATTTCCCCCAGGAATGTGGCTCAGTGAGTAAATAACAGGCTTTTCCGTCTCACAAATCTGACAAGGAATTCCTCCCTTCAGGCTGAGAAAGCAAAACAGGCTCAAAAAGAAATGTTTTGTCCAATATTGCTCCTTCCATAATGTGGAATAGAGATCATCACACAAACAGAAAAACGAAGTGCAAATCCCTCCACTAGGTACTGATTCTCCCCCATGGCTGTTTCAGGGGCAGTTGGAGACTGGAAGAATCACTTTACTGTGGCTCAGAATGAGAGATTTGATGAAGACTACAAGGAGAGAATGGCTGATACCAGTCTAACTTCCCACTTCCAATTCCAGTAAGGAAGAAAAAGAACCAAAAGTTTTTTAGTTAATTACCCAATTTATTAGGTAATAATCAACAAAAGCTCATTACCCAGACCACATGACACCAGATTCAGGTTCTCAGATTAGTCGTTTATTGTGTTTGCTTTTTGTACACTCTAAAAAAAAAATGACAGAGGCAGCAGAGTTTGGAGACGGTGCAGAGAGCAGGATGGCAGTGCGGAAGGAGAGCACACTCGTAGCATCATTGCTCATTGGTATTTTATCTACGCTTTCTGCAGACCATGTATTTGTTAACACATTAAACATGCTTCAGACCTCACATAAGAAAACACTGAGGTGTTCAGATTAAGTGTTGGTTCAAGCTAATTTTTAGATGCAGCACTAAAATGTGTACATCGTGACTATTTCTTCCACAGATTTTTTGGTAGCCAAGTAACCATCAGGTGACTGTTACCTTGTGAAACCTTCCAATTCACTTCAGAGTTCTTACTATAATACAGCTACCCCCATCTCTCACCACATCCTATATACTTAACTTGATTCTCTCCCCCAGCCTCAGGTAATGCTACAGTTCAGTCCTAGAGTCCTATCTTGACTCACCTCCCACCAGTGCTTCCACAATCACATGCTAATCCGTCAGCAATATCTGTAAGTTTTACTTCTATGAGGTCTCATTTCTATAGCCATCCTTCTGGTTCAGAAACCTTCTACCTACTTGCCTAGACTAGTGCAAGTTTAACTCATTTTTCTGTTCATCTCACATCTGCCAAGATCACTTTTCTAAAACAGGGCTCCGATTGTATTTCTCTTTAGCTCTAAATCCTTTGATGATTCTGAATTTTCACTGCCTGAAAGATAAATCCTAAGCTTTTTAGCCACGAATTCAAAGACAGCTATAAGCACATGATACAACCTTAATTACCTTCCACACTGCCTCTCCTGCTTCATCTGCCTCACCACCTCCGTTCTTAAACAAACTAGCCTCCTTACCAGGTCCTGAGCACATCTTGCAGGTTCCTACCCTACTAGTTTCATTTTCACCATGCCGCCGCCTGAAATTTCCTTTCCTTTCTCTCTGCCTGTCCAAATCACAAAAGAATTATACCAATTGTAGAGAACTTCAGAAGAGCAAATGATCTCTTAGGGTTGCAGTATTTGTAGGAGGAATTGGAAAGATTGTGCTGGTTAATGAAGCATGTTACAATTCTTTTGTGATCAAGATTAAAATATATTATCATTTCTCTTGTAAGTCTATATTGTCTCTCTTGTGCTTATTTCAATTTTTATTTTTTTCTCCAAGATAAGAACATTGCTATATATATCATTGCACACCAAATAGTATGTTATATGCTCAAAAATAAGTAACTGAAAGAATGTATCAGTCAAAAAGCTAACTTTATATTCTAAACAGTCCCTATAACAGCTATCATCTATAGCTGTGCTGTCCAATACAGTAGCTACTAGCCACATGCAGATATTTAAATTAACTAAATCTAAATAAAATTAAAACTCAGTTCTTCACTTGCATCAGCCAGATTTCAAGTGCTCAGTAGCCACACATGGCTAGTGGCCAGCATTTGGACAGTGCAGATCATAAAACATTTCTATAATTGGAAATTTCTATTGGACAAGGCCTTTTATTTTTATAATTCTTTGACCATGGAAAATGAGAAAACTAAAACCAAAGTTCAGAGATACTAGGTCATAAGTTACTAAAACAGAAAATATTGGAACCTAGTTTCAAACACAGCTCCAAGGCTCCAAAGCCTGGGTTTTTAACTTCTCAAAATAGAGCTTCTCCTTCTCCCACTGGTATAGTTCCAACATAAATGTCTACCATGATCACTGCTAACTAAAGGCTGCCTGGCCTAGAACCTGACCCCAAAACAGCTCAGACTAGCAAGACACCAGTCATACCCCACCCACAACCAAGTGAAGCTTAGCAATAGCATACAGAATGGCTACCCCATTCCCACTGTCTAAATGCCCTGAAGTAGACAGAGTCCTAGGCCACCATAGCCTCCCACTTGGCACCCACTGCATGTGTCCAGTCTAAAATATATCTTTTATACCTTTGTACCTCTAAGGTCCCCCTGAAACTGGGTACAATTGCTGCAGACCCAGATCTGAAGGTGCTGCCTTCTGTGACTGTATCCCAGGTTCCCCCTCATACACCACCCACCAGGGCACCAAAATCCATGCCTGGCCCTGCTGCCTTGGATAGACAACTCAGGTAGGCTTGATCTCAGCCCATAACTCTTGGACTTCTGACTTGCATTCAAGTTTCCACCTCTTACTTTCCTCCAAACCAGCTGCATATTGTTAGCTGGCAATACCCATCTATACATTTTGGTTACTTTGCCCTATACCTAAACAAACGAACTCAAACTGGTCCTAAATTGGCCTCTCCCCTACAGTCTTTTGAAACTCGTGATTACCATAGTATATTTTAGATCTATTCAAGATCATTTCCATTTCAGCAGAGAATTACAATAATACATTAAAGCTTTGTAACCCTTGTGAAACACTGAGTCTTCGAATACAAGGTACACATTCTGCATTTTATCACAACTGAGCGATAACCTTTGAGTCCTGTGGAGGAGGTCTGGGTTTGAATCAAAAAAACATTAAAGAAAATCAAACTATACATTAAAGAGATGAAAGACATAAGAGTACAAAAAAATCAGTATTATGATTCTATGTAGAACATAAAGAAGAACTTATATTCTTCAACCACATTGCAAAGTGATTCCATGTGACTGAATGGCCTCATGAGGCCACCTGGCTCCTATCAACTGGAGAAGGACCAACAGAAACATAATTTTGAAAATAAACACAATTCACAACCAATGCAAACTTAAAGCCAGTGTTAGAGAAATAAAAACTCACCCTAAGATTAGAAATACCACAATGAAGTAAGAAAAGTAAATGGTTTTTAAATCACCAGACTCACAGCACTGACAAAAAAGGCAAAGAGTGCCAGATTGGAGGACGTGAGAACAGGGTAAGAGCTCCAGCTTCTGAGAGCACCAGAAACTGCAGTGTGGGAGGCAAGACACCAGATTAAGCAGAAGACAAACCGCTTTAATTGAGAAAACACACAAAGACCAGAGAAGTCCTATCCCTAGAAAAGGTTTGAAAAGTCTCCAGAATCTCTAGCTAGACTGATTGATGAAGGTCTTCCCTGTACAAAGCAAATCCATAAAGACAAGGAGAACTGAAAGGTTTTTCCTTTTTATTTATTTTTTTTTAATAGCAAATCATTTTGGGTTGTCATGAGGGATTTTTTGACTTGGTATTTATTTTTGCTTTCTACTTCTTTTATTTATTTTTACCTTTTTTTACTTGAAATATACTTGATATCCAATATTATACTGCCTTCATGTGTTCAAAATAGTGATTTGACAATTATATACATTACTAAATGCTCACCACAATAAGTTATTAGAATAGTATTGACTGTATTTCCTATGCTTTCCTTTCATCCCTGCACCTAATTTATTTTAAAATTTGATGTTTGTGTTTCTTTATCTCCTACACCTATTTCACCCACCCACCCACATCCCACTTCCCTATGGCAACCACTAGTCTGTTCTATGTGTTTATGAGTCTGTTTCATTTTTTAATTTTTTTAAGATTCCACATATAAGTGAAATCATATGGTATTTCTCTTCTTTGACTTATTTCACTTAGCACAATACCCTCTAGAATCCAAGATTTCATTCCTTTTTATGGCTGACTAATATTCTGTTATAATTGGACCACATATTTACCCACTCATCTATCTATGGACACAGGTTGCTCTCATATCTTGGTTATTGTAAATAATATTGCAGTGTACATAGGGATGCATGTATCTTTTTGAATGAGTAATTTTGCTTTCTTTAGGTAAATTCCCAGAAGTAGAATTACTGAGTCATACGGTAGTTCTATTTTTAGATTTTTAAGAAGCATCCGTACTGATTTCCATCGTGATTGCACCAATTCACATTGCCACCAACCGCATAGTAGGGCTCCCTTTTCTCCACACCCTCACCAATACTTATTTCTTGTCTTTTGGATACTAGTCATTCTGACTAGTAAGAAGTGATACCTCATTGTGGTTGTATTTTCCCTGATGATTAGTGATGCTGGGCATCTTCTCATTGGCCTGTTGGCCATCTGTATATCTTCTCTGGAAAAATGTCTATTCAGGTCCTATGCTCATTTTTTAATCAGATTATTTGAGGGGGGTTTTTCTGTTGAGTTGTGAATTCTTTATATATTTTGGATATTAGCCCCATATATCATTTGCAAATATATTCTCCCATACAGTAGGTTGCCTTTTTGTTTTGTTGAATGGTGTCCTTTGCTATGCAGAAGGTTTTTAGTTTGATGTAGTCCCACTTTTTTATTTTTGCTTTTGTTTCCCTTGCCAGGGGAGACACATCTAAAAACATTACTAATGCTGATGTTCAAGAGTTTACTGCCTATATTTTCTTCTAGAACTTTATGGTTTCAGGTCTCATATTCAAATACATAATCCATTTTGGGTTTATTATTGTGTATGGTGTAAGATAGTGATTCAGTTTCATTCTTTTGCACATAGCTGTCCAATTTTCCCAACATCACTTATTGAAGAGACTGTCTTTTCCTCACTGTATATTCTAGCTTCCTTTGGACATAGATAAATTGGTTATATAAATGTGAGTTCATTTCTGGGCTCTCTATCCTGTTCCATTGATCCACATGTCTGTTTTTGTGCCACTACCATATTGTTTTCACTACTGTCTCTTTAAAATATAGTTGAAAATCAGGGAGTGTGATGACGCTAGCTTTGTTCTTCTCAAGTTTACTTAAGGTATTTGGGGTCTTTTGTGGTCCAATACAAATTTTGGGATTACTTGTTCCAGTTCTGTGAAAATTGCCATTGGCATTTAGATAGACATTGCACTGAATCTGTAGATTGCTTTGGATATTATGGACATTTTTAAGAATATTAATTTTTCTTATCCATGGATATCTTTCAAATTATTTGTGTCAGTTTCAATTTCTTTCATCAATATCTTATGTTTTCAGAGTACAGGTCTTTTATCTCCATGGTTAAATTTGCTACTGGGTATTTTATGCTTTTTAATGCAACTGTAAATAGAATTGTTTCTCTCTCTGCTAGTTCATTATTTGAATATAGAAATGCAACAAATGTCTGTATATTGACATTGTGTATTACAACTTTACTGAATTGGTTTATTAGTTCTAATCACTTTTTTGATGGAGTCTTTATGGTTTATATTGGCTATTGTATATAATGCTACAATAGACATAGGAATGCATGTATCTTTTGAATCAGCTATTTCGTTTTCTTGGGGTAAATTCTCAGAAGTGGACCTGCTGGGTTGTGTGTTATTTCTATTTTTAGTTTTTTTGAGGAACCTCCATACTGACATTTTTCTGGTATCTCAAGGTAGGCCTGTATCACTATCAATTCCCCTCTGAGAACTACTTTTGCTGTGTCCCAAAGTGTTGAACTGTTGTGTTTCTACTTTCATTATTCTCCAAGTATGTTTTACTTCCTCTCTAATTTCTTCATCGACTCACTCATTGTGTAGTAGTATGAAGCTTAGCCTCCATGCATTTGTGTTTTTTAGTTTCTTCTAGATACTGATTTCCAGTTTCAAAGCATTGTGGTCAGAAAAAATTCTTGGTATAATTTCAACCTTCTTAAATTTACTGAGGCTCATCATGTGGCTTTGCATGTCATCTATCTTGGAGAATATACCATGTGCACTTGAAAAGAATGTGTGTTCTACTGTTTTGGGATGTAATGTTCTGTATATATCTACTAAGTTTACTTGGTCTAATATTTCTTTCAAAGCCACTGTTTCCTTATTGATTGTCTATCTCAATGACCTATCCATTGATGTAAGCTATGCTTTCTCAATCTTTCTGAATAACAGGGGTCAGGTTTATCATTTTTTAGTAAAGCATATAATATTGAGCTATAAGAGATAAGTTTAGAATCTAATTTCAACAGGGGCCAACCAGTCCAAAAACCTCATAACTGGTGCTTAGTTTTAGGTTTAGGGAAGTTCTTGATGCCATGAAGCCTATCTGGACCCAAATATAATCCTTGATGTGAGATCAGGTGCCCTAAGTACTGAACTTGAGTTAGAGCAAAATGCAATTTTTTTTGGAAACTTTATGTCCCTTTTAGGCCAAAAGTTTTAACAGGTGAATGTTGTCTTCCTGTGAAAAGGTTTAAGAAGAGGAGCAGA